TTTCGTCCGACCATCGATGATTATTATGGTAATTGTTAATTCCATCTCGAGTAAATTGAGCTTCATCAGAAAATAATATGCATTTAAGTAATCTTCTGTTTTCACGAATCCATTGACAAAATTGTAGTCTTAATGGATAATCGCCTTCTTGGAGATTTTGTACTTTCTGCAAATGAAAAGCGTTTAAGCCTTGCCGCTTTAATGTTTTCCAAACCATTGTTTGTGGAATTTCAAATTGTATTGCCATGCGCCTTGTACTTATCCCTGGATTATTTTCTACAACATCCAGAATATTTTCTTCATGTTCCAAACTGAGCCCTTGCTGTTTTTCAGAAACAATGCTTGCACTTGGGAACATTCCACTTTCGCCAGCACGTGTAAAAACAGTTTGAAACACTTGCCTATTAGGAATTCTTCGATTCGGAAAACGACGTCGATACTCTTCTACTGAACGAACAGTATTACCATTACAAAAACCATAAACAAACACCATATCTGCATATTCTCTATGACTGAAAATGTGAGGCATTTTTATTATTTCGTAACAATTACAACTATCACTTTAATTAACATTTTGTTTCAAATTGTCATATAGGATAACGTTGTCAAACATAACTTGATTAACTTTTTAAAAAGAAAAACCTAATTATCTCGGAAACAAATGAAAATCGGATTTGAACATAATATGGGCTTATTTTGCTTATTTTAGCTTCCTAGACATGTCCTTAAAATCTTTCCATTTCCTCCCGAATCACCCTGTATATATATATATATATATATATATATATAATTAGATCATTATTAATAAAGAAAATGTTTATTTAGTGAGTATTTCGGTTTAGAGTCATCATAAAGTTTCTTGCCCTTTATTCTTTTCAAACTTGCGGTCAAGAAAATAAATATTTTATTTTTAATTTTTTTCTCGTCCCAAACTTTGGGGTGTCATAAATTTTGCCATGTCAAAAAAAGATTAAATGATTTAACCAAAACAAATTTAGGAACTTTTTTTTTTCAGAATTGTTAAATTTGAGAAGGTTTAATAAAATAATATGAATTTTTATTTTGTAATGTCTGGTAATCCATATCTTATACGTTATTCTAAACATAATCATATAGACTTATACGCTGGGTTAAAAAAAACACATAATTGAATTAGATATTGTAATAGACAAATAGATGGTTATCACAAGTATATGTTTTATTCAAGTGAATAAAATAATGAGAAGACGATGCTGCAAAGGACAGGAACCGGGCTCAGAAACTGTTGTTTATTTAACTTTTATTGTCGTTTATCTGTCGTTTTCGAAACCTTAGACTACATTTTTGTGGTTGTATAAGAAATTAATCGCTTATTTATGTTTTGTAAAATAATGTTTCATTTTCATGATACATCTAGAAAAATAAACTTGTAATTAAATGTAAATAAATATCACTAAATAATTTCTTTTCTTGCGCTTATGCAGGTAGGCTTTTAAGAAAAGCAGAGTGGCGTAGAAAAAGATCCCCACCATACTTTCAACTTGCGATGGCCGTTTATTGTGCGTGCCTGAAGAAACCTACTCCTATTGGCCGTCCTTACACTCGGTTATATTATTATTATTCTTGATATTGGAAGCGCTTCGACAACGAAGATCTTTAACGCTCACCGTATTTATAATTGATGGAACAAATCAAAAGACTTAAAAAATACAATCAAATTAACAGGATTTGCGTATGCACCATCCAAACATGAGATATTATATAATTGTCTCTCGTTGGCATATAATTCACAGTCTAGCAGGATATTCATTACCGTGAGATGAACTTCGCAGTCCAAACATACAGGTCTTGGTTCTCCTTTTAACAAATAACCGGAAGTCAGTTGTCTATGTCCTGTATGTAATCTCACTAGTTTCACCTGTTCTGATCTATTTAAGTTGCCTTATGGCATCCTTTTGACGACATACACTGACGTCAACACTGTTACCGTCAGCCCCGTGCCCTGCTTTATCTGCCCTTTCATTACCCTCAATGCCGATATGACCCGGTTCCCATATAAATACGATCTGTTTTCCAGAAAGCAAGATAACATGTAACAATTCTCCAACCATCCATACCATCGGTTCGTTTGGACACATTGCTTGTAATGATTTAACAGCACCCAACGAGTCTGTAACTATGACAAAGTTATTTCCATTATGACTCATACGGATGAAAAACAGAGCCTGGAAGATGGCATACAACTCCGCAAAGAAGATAGACGCAAAACTCTGTAAGCTCCATTGAATAATCAGTATCCCCAACCACAAATGCGCAACCAACCCCACTCTCCTTTTTGGAACCATCAGTATAAATAAAAACAGCATCATCATAGGCATTAATTATATTTCTAAATTCTGCTCTAAGTAATTCCCGTGGTGTACTCTGTACATGTAAGATTTAATTTGAAAACGGGTTTATTTAACTGCAAAGGAGTAAATTCGATACTGCATAAAGAAACAAGGGCATGGTAAAGTCCAAAGTTTCTAGCAGTTCTCTGGCCCTTACTAATTCCGGTCTTGTAGCTGTTGATCTGTATACAGGTGGTTGTTGGGAAAACAATACAGAGATTGGGTGCTTAGGTTGTATGCGACTTTTACAAAATAATTAAGAATTTGCCAATTTCGTCGATTGTGAAGAGGGACAATACCAGTTTCACAATACAAACTATGAACCGGACTTGTGGGAAAAGTTCCAAGTATGTACCGTATTGCAAGGTTGTGTATTACATTAAGCTTTTTGAGTCCAGTTATTTTTGCAGAAGAATACACCATACTACCATAATCAATAATAGATAATATCACACTCAATTTATTTACTCAATATATTTCTGCCATCTCTGCCATCGTAACTTGGCATCGAATATAATCCCCAAGAATTTAAATTCAGGAACATCACCAATACGGATACTTTGTAAATACAAAGAGAGATTTTTTTTCTTGATGACGATATCGCCTAGAGAGCAGAACACACTTTGTTTTTTGCACAAATACCTTATAACCAATCGACATGGTGTTTTTTAAAATAGTTTTGATGGCAGGCTGAACTGAATTATTAAGTTACTGTACTGTGGATCCTTTCAAATATATACAAAGGTCATCCACGTATAAAGATCTTCCTATTTCTGGGTTAAGATTGGATATTACATCATTCATAGCAAACAGAAATAGGGCCTTAAGCTTTTCAGTACAGTAAAACCTCGACTTACGCGACCCCGTCGTACAAGACCCCGTACTTACGCGGTTTTTCTAACGATAGCGCTTTGAGGTTTTCGACATTGGAATTTATTTACTTCTAAAAAAAGAGATCGAGACATGTTAGCTACTTTTTTCCTAACTGGTATAGTTTTTGAGATAGCCTATTCGGACATCAAATTTGAACCACCTGTACATACATTTTTTACATCCTTGATTTTATAATATGTATTTATCGAATTTCGACTTACACGATTTTCGATTTACGCGGCTACTGTCAGTCCCACCTATCGCGTAACTACGGGGTATTACTGTACA